TCCGACAGACTGCAGACTCTGTCAGGTAATGCATTTGGGCACAGCAAAACTAAAAACAGATCCATTTGCAGTAATCAAACACAGGCCCACAAAATTAATAAGGCAATGCACGCTATAGCTTTGGCCCTGAAACTATGCACTTTTTGACCACTAACCAAATCATGCAACTTTAACACTCTTGTGCAATTGTCTTCTATGTTGAGGATTTGGGGTTGTTGTTTTTTTTTTTACAAAATTAAGGCATTGCCCTTTCAAATAAGACTTTTCCCTCCCCCAAGAAATCTTCTTCCTGTCCCCAAATTGCTAGCACTGCAGAAACTTAAAACTTCAGTTGAGCATTTAGCGATACCGTTTAGACATCCAAAGGAAAGGGGCAGGCAAAATTTTACAATGTCTTACTCTTTGCAGTGCTAGCAATGTGGGGATGGAAGGGGAAATTTTATGAGAGGAGAGAATTCTTCTTTGGAAAGGCAATGCCCTCATTTTGCAGCCTGCATAGCTACACCCCCAATGTTGTGGCATCTTAAAGACTAACAAAGCCATTACAACAGGAACGTAGCTCATTTCATTAGCTGCATGGTTTCACAGCATGTAAGCAAACAGAGTGGCTTATTCAGCTCGATTTATCATGCGAGACCCAGATTGCCCCATAAGATCCAGAGGTTTGCAAATGGAAACCAGAGGTATACACATGTGGAAGATGCATTTTCCCCTTGTATCAGTAGATGCTGGGATGGGTGTGTGTTTGTGTGTGCGATCTTGAAAAATTTCCTAATTAACATGGGACCCTTGCAACACTGCTGTCCCCGCAGGCTCCTCTTATTGCCTATTAGACTATCCTTGCTCACGGAGACAGAGGTTAGGAGCTGGGCAGTCTAATGAAGCCTCCCCGTCCCACTTCTCACCCCACATAATAACTGGAGGCCTTGCTAGATAACATTCAAGGAAATGCACACAATGTCATTCTTAATAGACCAAGTATTAGATGCAAATTACCTTAGCGAGTGCGTGCCCTGGCTTCCTGAGCTCCATAGCCTTAGGAAGTTTTTTTTATTCCTCCTGCTGTAATGATAATGAGGATAATCAGAATTATAATGATGTCAAAGAGGCAACTGAGGTCAAACCTCACAAGGGAACTCACATACGAAAACTTAAAGCTGCAGGAGAAAGGATGGCTTGGAAGGGAGAAAGTGCAGGCTGGTTAAGATGGTGAACACCTCCTTTACCTCCATCTCTCTCTGCTCTCCCAACTGTCCTGTCCTGTCCCAAAACAACATTTGAGAGCATGTATAGGGTTGCCATTTGTCCCAGAAAACCTGGAAAGTCCTGGATTGAAGGGACTAAAAGAAATGTCCTGGCCGGCTGGGCCAGCTGAAGCAGTAAATCCTGGATTTTTCCTCCGTTGCAGGCTGATAGGTAGGTTAAAATGCACAATGGTGATGAAGGAGGAATCATGCAAGATGGCTGACACCAGAGAGAGGTATCACCTAGTGGGGCGGTACACCTGGATGGACTGGCATGGCTACTGGGCAAGTAAGAAAAGGCACTTTCCTGCTTGCCCAGCAGGCACACAGGACCCTAAATGGGCCCTCCAAAAGCTGTGGTGCTGACTTCTGGGTCCGGGGGGCACTGGCTTCAGGGTCTGTCACAGCAGCAGCCACTCCAGACTGGGGCTGTAGTGGTCTGGGTTGGCTGGAGGGAAGGCAAGGCAGTTTGCCCCCCTCCACATTGGGTGACACCAACCTGAGGGATAGAATCATTGAATCATAGAGTTGGAAGAGACCACAAGGACCATCCAGTCCAACCCCCCTGCCATGCAGGAACTCCCAATCAAAACATCCCCGACAGATGGCCATCCAGCCTCTGCTTAAAGACCTCCTAGGAAGGAGACTCCACTACTCTCCGAGGGAGCATCTTCCACTGTCCAAAATCCCTTACTGTCAGGAAGTTCCTCCTAATGTTGAGGTGCAACCTCTTTTTCTGTAGCTTGCATCCATTGTTCCGGGTCCTATGTCCCTATTCACATGGCCAAATATACTGAGGATAATAGGAATTGTAGTTCAACTCATCAGAAGACTGATGTGGCATTTCTTTCTAGCACTCAAAGACCTTACTTATCTCAGTCAACACTCTACAAAGCAGGTCAATACACCATATTGTCACCCCCATATTCCAGGTTTTAGGAGGCGAGGATTTAGGAACAGCACAGGCCTGAGACTGAGAGGGAATGCCTTAAATAAATCCCATCTATTGAACTCATAGCAGAAGTTAAACTTGAATTGAGGGCCCTCCCCATAATAGTGAGAAATATGATAATATCTTAGTATTTTTTATATAGATTGTTCCCCCCTAATTATTCTAAATACTTCATGCGTATATCCTATAAATTGTTTTTCCAACAGTTTTTGAAGGGAAACCAGCATTTTTAAAAACATTTTAAGCTGCTTTGAGTCCCAATCTGGCGGAAAAGCAGGATAGAAATAATAATAATAATAATAATAATAATAATAATAATAATAATAATAATAATAATATATTCCCCTCATATTACACATTCTGGAGAGGCTCTGAAATCACAACAACCACTACCTGGTAAGGGCAGGAATGAAATGAGGTTTTTCAAAAGATTTAGTAGTTTATACAAGGCTCATCCAATATATTTTGCTGTTTGAAGAAGAGAAGTAAACAGTGTCCTTCCCCATAAACTTCCAAATTCAAGGTGCACAGCAGCCTAAGCCAGCCAAGATGTTTTGGCACCCAAAGTAGAAAATGTCACAAGAATCTCCATTTCCCTGCCAGTAAAAATGTCATAATAGTAAACCAGTAACTAACATTTTCTGCGCCAGATCTGCTGCCCTGAGGTAGCTGTTTCATTCTCCTAAATGTTAATGAATTAAGGCTTGTCCCTGTGTAACTGGGTGCACAACCACTAGACTCCATTGCTCCACTCACCGCCGGTGTTTCTGCCTCTGTCGCGTCTGTTGCGTACTGTCACAGTCCGATCCCAAATCTGACTCCGCACTCGAGGCCAGAGACTAAAATAAAGAAAGATAACAGCCCAGGCTCAATAACACTCCAGATTTACCAAATGGTAAAGTAAAGTCCATGGCAGCAAGTCTCAAATTCTTTATAATCTTTCAGGTTTTCAAAGGAAGGGTGGGCGAAATGCAGCCCACAGGTTCCCTGTGGACCCTTGAACCCTTTTTTTGTGTTCCCGTTTTCCCAATATTTTCTTAGGCAAAGAATACTCAGAGGTGGTTTTGACAGTTCTGAAGTACAGACCAAAGCACCTGGGATTCACTGGCAGTTTCCCATGCATGTACTAACCAGGGCTGACCCTGCTTAGCTTCCAAGATCAAAAGGGATCAGTGCCTTTAGAGTATTTAGCCTCTTTGTGTGTTATGTGCCTTCCGATTTATGGTGACCTTATGGCAAAACCATTATGGGGTTTTCCTGGCAAGATTTGTCCAGAGGTGGTTTGCCATTGACTTCCGCTGAGGCTGAGAGCATGTGATTTGCTCAAGGTGAACCAGTGGGTTTCATGGCTGAGTGGGAATCGAACCCTGGCCTCCAGAGTTGCAGTCCTGCACTCAAACCACTGTGCTGCATTGGCTTTGTAAAAAGAGCTGTAAAAAAACCCAAGTAAACCATAATTTGAATTTAATTAAATTTGATCCTGCTTAAATTGTGCCTCCGCAGCATGAAGATTGAAGACCAGAGTCTTTTGAGGACCTCATGTTTCAAAGTTATAGGACTGCCTTAAAACTTAGAAAAGTTTTCTAAGATTGGGAAAGTTGACCAAATTCTGGTTTCTAAAATACCTCAGGATCCAGGCTGCCTATAAACAGCACTCAGTTCCACAGAACTCAGTAATTCAAGTCTTCACTATGACCCAGATCTCAGAAACCACAGCCTCTTCATATCTGGATAATTCAATTTGTTTCTCCCTCACAACTTTTAGCCAACATGGAGCCCAAGTGCTGGCCTTAGGAATCCATGCACCAACATTATAACACACTTTAAAAAAAAAAAGCTGGAACTCATTTGCAGACATGGCAAAATTAAATGGTGTCATCTTTGCAATCTGTTCTTTGAAACACAGCTAAGATTATGCTCAAGTTCTGCAAGTGATGCCTTTGGTTAAGAAGGCACCATTTCTGGACTGAGTGGTAGTCTTGGTTAAGCATTATGTGGAATGTGAGTCCCTTCCAATGTTGTTGGACTGCAGCTCCCATCATCCCTTGACACAGTCTATGTTGGGCTGGTGGGAGCTTCAGCCAAACAACATCTGGACAGCCATGTGTTTCCAATCCCTATCCTTGATCATTCTTCACTTTGTGACTGGAATGGCTGTGATGGTGAAGGGGAGTAGTGGATTCTGGAAGGAATAGCTCCAAAATGTAACTTTCCCAGGCTCAGGGTTAGAATAACAAGTCAGTCAGATAATCAGGCCAACCAACTGGTCACCCTTCTGTTCTTTGCTTCACAGATCTTCAGAGGACCAAGGAGTTTGGGCTCCCAGGCCCTCTGCCATAACCCTTGCTTGATAATTAATTATCAGCTTTCGACTTAGCCTTGGGATACATTTTTCACTGCAGGAAATTCCAGAGATTAAAACCATTGGGAACAAAGACACTAAAATATTTATATGAGCGAGCTGGAAAAAATAAATTCTGGGCTTGTGCTTCTCATGAAAGCCAGAGGGTTGGGGAAGAGAAGAAAGACAATCGGTAATAAAAGGGATGAACTTATGAGGCCCTGGAGCCAGGAAAAAGACAAGGCAGTCCATCCACTGACTTTATTCGAGCCTCCAAACAGATTCCTCAAGTGCTCCTTCGCAGCCGCAACTTTCCCTCTTAGCCGCCGCTCTTTCCGCAGAGATTTGGGGGACGGCAAACTCCACCCGCTTCCGGTTTTGTCCCCCTCAGTTTCTCCTTGACATGGCACCCCATTTTGGTCCAAGCGCCCTTCACTGCGGGAACGCCACACCCCTCCGGGGTCTTGTAGCGGAAGCTGAAGGCAGG